GAATGTGGAATGTAACGCAGGTTATATTACGGAAAATTGAAAATTACAAAAAAATTAGATATATGACACAAATAACCAAATGTTCCTTTTTTCTTTTTTCTTGCTATTTATTACATAGAGAGATAATATGGAGTCTGTGCAAGGAAAATAAATAATTACAATCTGGATAAAGCCAATCAAAAGACAAATATGGACATTGGAAAATGGCGATAAAGCTAAAAAAGTTTTCACAAAATAACTTCTCAAAGGGGAGGCGCAGAGTCTTGTCACCGCTTACAGGTGTTCATGTGCACCCAGCCTACACGCCGCACGCCAGGGATGCTGGATACTTACATAACCATTGCACCCGGATCCAAGGGGTTAAAGGAGGGGAGAAATGTGATAGTTGCTATGCGTCAACTATCTAGAGTAATCTTGAAAGGTTAAAGAAGGGTAATGGAGTTGCTGTGTGAATGGGCTATAGTGGGTCTAGGTAAGGGAATTACATAAGGGTTTCACGTGTGTATCCAGGAGCGAGTGGAAATGATAAGAGGGGATGGAGGGAGGGAGAATGTACATGTAGTTGGGAGTTGAGTGGGGTGGGTTGTGTTGGGAGGAGTAGGAGGGAGGGTATGGGGGAATATGAGTAGGAGGAGGATGGATATCGTTAGTATCAGGAGGATGGAGGGAGGGAGGACGGATATCAGTAGTAGGCAGAATTGGTTAGGTTGTGTTGAGAGGGAATAGGAGGAAGGGGTGTAGTGGGAATATGAGTAGGAGGGGGATGGATATATAGCTTTGAATATCTTCCATAGTTTCTGCAGTGGAGTTGGTTGGAGAGTTTTGTGAGACAAAGGTTTTCTTATGAGGGGGGAAGAGGAGACTGGTGTCTCAGGAATAAAGGCAAAGGTAAGTAGAAGTGATAGGTGATCCTAATGGTTTTTGGATTATTTGAAAGCTAAATAAATTAGCTATTTTTTCATTGAGCAATTCAATTTTCCTTTCAGGTGATAGAAGTCCATATTCATATTTCATATTCATTACAATAAGTGCTGTGTTCCTTAGAACTTCTAAATATCTATACTTTAAAGGTGGTTAGGGTACTGCTTCTCCTGCTGCAACTGTTATTTATGAAACTGGATAAATTTCTGATTGTGATCTCATTCTTTTGTAATAATTGTAAACCCAATCTTCTGAATTTATCTCCTTTCCTTTTTGTATTTTTTATCGTCATATCCTTGGAAATTAATACAAAACTCAAGAATTCTTTTTCATGACTGGGCACAAATTCTGATTTCTCCAAATCAATTGTGAAACCTAACTGATCCAATGTTGATGCAATGTATTTCACACCTATCAATTCTTCCTTAGAATTTACTATCACAAGACAATCATGAACACTGAATGTTCAGCTAATCACACTGCCAGTCATGTACAACGTCACTACTTGGCAGGCAGCCATGGAAGAATTAGGCACCACTATAGTACATATGCACTAGTACATGACTTTGCACAATACAAAGCATTACACCTGTAATCCCTGTTGAGAGCAAGACTCACCATTCCAATTGGTGTTGTTCGGGAATTTCCGTTCTTTGGCAGGTATTATGATGTTAACAATATACTTTTACTAATTATTAAACAAAATCGGTCAGCATCTTACATATCTGCCAAAACCTTTTGAAATTATTTTCCCTAGATTTGTTCAATTCACAATGGGAGACCAAAACATTTAAATAAAATCAATTTGGTCATCCAGCAGCTATTCTACACAATCTTGAGAAATTAACAGCAGCTCCAAACTAGTCATCCCACTGTGCACGGGAGACCGAATTGTCCACCCCTGCGAGTACCCAACAATGATTCAGCAAAAAAACAAATGCTAGGAAGACCACTGTGATCATCCCCCCCCCCCCTCTACCACACTGACCATTTTGTTCTCTTTATAACTGATTATTGGCGCTCCATCATCCTTAATCCCTCCCCAAACTCACTATGAGAAGTAGGAAGCCCCAATGAACCTCTCTGTCTTCTCTCTTACCTATCTTTGCCCTTTGGCTTTTCCCTATTTGAAAAATATTTGGTATTTTCAACATGAGATACATTTCATGGTGTAAAACTCATGCCTCCTAGTCCTCTGGCTTTTCCTTTCTGCCAGCATGTATTTTCAACCTTGTTTATTTCATGTTTTATAAATACTAAATGTTTTGTAAATATTACTATGAAATACTTTCTTTTCTGAAAATTGTTCCTTATAATTTGCCCACCCATTTGACCCTATACACACCCATTTGATCTTATCTATTGAAGAAAATAAGGTGGGCAGAGATGCCATAGGTCTGTTAGGACATACTCTTAAAACTATAGCTGAAAGCTAAAAATCTGATGGAGTTTTCGGCTCCAGAGGACACAGTAGTCTGAAATCTTAAAAGGACTTAGTACAGATTAAGCTATTATCTTCACCATTTGCTGACTCACACAATTAATTTGTTAACTGATTTGTGTTTGATTAGTAACTCCATTACACCAATTTTTAATGGCTTATATCTTTGGCCATTCCTCCAAAATGTCGTCTTCTTAGATCTGATGGATATGGTATTGTATTCTACTGTCACATCCTGATTTACTCTATTTTCCCATGGGCATAAGTAATCAATGCCTCTCTGACATGTTTGACATATTAAGAGTACATGAACTCCATCTTTTCATACTAGTGGCCTCTTGTTATTTTTTAGCAATAACATTCTGATCATATCTTAAACATTTACTTACTTCTATGTACCTCAGTTTTTCTCTTGTATGGTTTTGAAAAGTTCCACTGAGGAGGAATCAGGATTTGTGTAGAGGTTGATTTCTCCTTTGCATAAGCACACAAAGGTTTTGTGTCCCTAGAAGTTTTCTAAGGTTGAACCCGTTGCAAAAGCTTTTAGACGGAGATTGACTTGGTGGGTCTTTTGGGAGGGCCTCTTGTATTATTTCCCTTGGTAAACCTGGGGGGACTATACCATCTGTGAGCCATACCTGAGAGAGTTACCACTCAAGTAAAGGTAATGCCTGGATCTTGGTCCATGTGATTCACAAGGCATACAACAGATACAACAGGTTAATGATACCCTGTGTAGAATGTCATGTGTATGAAATTCCCTTCCTAGACACTCATCTTGATCACAATACTTATTTTTTATATACTATCCTCATTTTGTGCACTTTAAAATCCAAATCTAACAACCATGACTTACATCCAAAGTGATTGTGATCTTGCATCAGTAATGCTGACTTGATCTGGAGATGCTATGCTTCAGAAGCCAGCAAATTTAGCAATATACTTTATAGACTATTTTCTTTCCGTGAATCATGCTAGACTCACATTTTTCAGGTCAATGAATTGGGTGAACCGGGTCATGCTCATACTGCTCCTAAACTGGGCCACTAACACTTCTTTGCATTCCCTTGTTTAATATCTTTTGAATGCCCCTGGTCTGCTCATTTTCGGCTCCATGACTGATTAATCATTTCACAAAAAATATGGATAGGGCTGGGAATATGACATCATGAAGAAATTTGATTGGGGTGACGGGAATAAATCTCCATGAGTGCACAAAGCTCTTGGAGGAAGATCTGACTCAGTGGGCTTTTAGGAAGAGGTTTTTGTATCATTTCCACTGGTAAAAAAAGGTGGAATGTACCATCTATGAGCCATGGCTAGAAGAACACCAGCTTCAGAGAGGACATTATTTCCATGCACAGTATCCTATTCCTGCCCAATCTGACCAGTGGTTCAGGGTGTGTTAAAGAAATCCATGTAAAGCAAATGAAAGAAAGAAAGAAAAGACAAATAACAACATAGAGATGAGATGGAGTCTGTCCAAGGAAAACATTTTATTTCCATCTTGATACATTTTATCAAATGACAAATAACCCTTAAAAAATGTAAGAGGGGAAAAAATACTAATGCAGAAAAAAAGAAAATAACATTGTAAAGGGGAGGCCCGGATTCTAGAAACCACACAAGAGTGTTCATGTGGGCCAAGCTTACAAGCCATGCACCCAGGAGAGTTGCCTCTACAGTAATCCTAATGCCTGGACCTTGCTCCATGTGCAGGCAGCAAGGTACCAAGATTCAATGGATTAAGTATGCATTACTTTACTTTAGTGATCATTACTCTATATAGTAATTGGTCAGTCTATTGCCTTCCTTACCCTACATTGTTTTACTATACATTCCTCAGTTCAGTCTTTTCTTTCATTGTACTTGATCCTGCGGTTTTACTGGCTACCATGTTCTTTTCCCTCCCCCCAGATTTTTTATCCAACCTCAATGGAAAATAAAAAAAGGTATACAAGAGAAGAACAAATCTATTTTTCTGTCTAAAAGGTCTGGATTTTTTCTGTCTAAGGTCTGGAGCATGGATTCCCATTCTGTCACACAAACTCTGCCCACTAATGTTACCTTCAGATTTGATATTCAGCTTTCCTTATCCTGCAACAGTGGGGCAGTAGAGGAAGGTAATTTTTCATCTCTCATATGATTCATCATCATTATTAAAATAATCATTATCATTAAAATCATTATTACCACCACTTTAGCATAGTCATAATTTTTACTGCAGTTTATCAATCAATACAGGAAACAATCTTTAGCATTGCTAATGTTAATCATAATCAATGCTATCTTCAATAGAAACGTATTGCTATTGTTTTTTCTTGCCATCAACTCATTTTCAACATCAAAGTCACCAATATCATTTAATTCTAGTATAAAGAACAATATTAAATAAATTTTGTAATGCATTATTATTGCTTTCATCATTTGCACTTTACTCACTTTATCTCCATCATTAATATAATGAACTAATATTATTATCCATCTCCATCATTAATATAATGATGAAGATCATTCTCATTGTCTACAACAACCAATATACCAAACCACTTCCTTTTCGTCCTTTTCTTCTCCACTTATGGCATATGTGCTGCAGAGTGACAAGAGAAAAAGCAAAGGGATGTCTGAGATACAGTACCTGCATTCCTACCAATCTGACTCCTAACGTGATTGTGGTTGTGTTAGCCGCCTTGGCAGTTTGACTTTTGCGTTTGCTTTCCGGAGCATCATCCCCATATTGTCTTGTCCCCATCTTCAGATCAAGAACACATGGATATCTGAACTTGAAGGTGAGGTTCTCGAGCATTATACATTCTGAAATAGGAAAGTACAGTAAAATGAATATACAATGCAACTATATATATTAAATATGTGATATATTATTCAAACTTCNAGCAAATTCCTACTCAACGAAATTAATATATTTCCGAGATAGATAAAAAAAAAGAAAGAAAGAAAGAAAAGAAAGAGAAAGAAAGAAAGAAAAGAAAAGAAAAAAGAAAAAGAAAAAAAAAAAAAAAAAAAAAAAAAAAAAAAAAAAATATATTATATTATATATATATATATAATATATTATATATATATATATATATATATAATATATATATATATATATATATAATTCATACCCCACTATATAATCAAAACGAAATAAAGCGATTTTCCCCGAATCTGCAACGTCTTCGAAATCTGCTTCTCCAACCCCATACTCCTTCATTCATAAATAAATAAAAAAACTTATCATAATACCCAAGACAGAGAAAAAAACCACGTTCCAAAAAAAAAAAAAAAAAAAAAAAAAAAGAAAAAGCCACGTTCCAAAAAAAAAAAAAAAAAAAAAAAAAAAAAAAAAAAAAAAAAAAACGACAGAAAAAGCCACGTCCCCCCCCCCCCCAAAAAAAAAAAGTTGTTGCTGCGTCAATCATTTCTTTCATACTTGATAATGTTTAGTCTAGACTTTATTTACGAGACAAAGACAAGATAAACTTCAATGAACCTGATTCAGTCGAAGTCAAAATCGAGCGCCGAGTTTGGGTTCTATGCCTGTTCGTAATTTAAAATCATGTGTATGAGTGTAATGATGATCGTGATGGTGATGATAATAATGATAATGATGGCGATGATGGTAATGATGGTAATGATAGTAATAATGATAATGATGGTGATGATGCGATGTGATGGTGATGATCGTGATGGTGATGATGATAATGATGGTGATGATAACGATGGTGATGATCGTGATGGTGATGATAATGATGATCATGATGGTGATGATATTGATGATCATGATGGTGATGGTGATGATGATAATGATGATCATGATGGTAATGATGGAAATGATAATGATAGTGATGATGATGATAAATATAATTATGGTAATGATAATGATGTTGATAATGATGGTGATGATGGTCACGATAATGATAATGATGGTGATGATAATGATGACAATGATAATGATGATGGTAATGATGATGGTGATGATAAAGATAATGATGGTCATGATGATCTTTAAAATGATGATGCTAATGATGGTGGTGATGATAAGGATAATGATGATGGTGATGATAATGATAGTGATAATGTTATTGAAAATAATGATTGTAATGATAGTGATAATGATATGATGATACTAATAATGATATAGATAATGATGATATGATGATACTAATAATGATATAGATAATGATGATATGATGATACTAATAATGATATAGATAATGATGATAATATGGTGTGATGATAATGATAATGATTATAATGATAACAAGCCTGATAATGATAATGATGATGGTGATGTTGATGATGATAATAATAACAATAGTAATAACAATAGTAATGATGATGACGATGGTGGGGATAACAATGATAATGATAATAGTAATAATGATAATCATTCAACTACTGCTACAACTGCCACACACACACGCACACACACACACACACACACACACACACACACACACACACACACACACACACACACACACACACACACACACAAACACACACACACACGCACACACACACACACACTCATATTACACATAAATATATACATGGATGGATAAAAAGATATACAAACAGATATAGATACGTCATTTCCAAGTCATAACCTCCAGGCAACTACATCATAAGCCACAATATATATTCGGAGGTTAAATCATACGAGTATCTTTTTTTTGTTTATATCTTTCAAATACCAATCAGTCTTTAATATGTTAATGGCAGATTTTGGCAAATTTTAGCTCGTATTTTACATTATTTTGCGTTCCCTGTTGTGAGTTTATGTTAAAATCTTTAATGGCTTTAGGAATACTTATTTATTCATGATGTTTATTCATTACTACCTGATTTTAACTGTTCTATATAATTTGGTCATTAATCAACAAGAAGTTTGTGTTCCAGGGGAGTCATGTTAGCTTTGTTTCGTAGGTATTCTTGATAAAAAAAATATAAATAGATAAATAAATAAATAAGATAGAAAGATAAAGAATAATAAACAAAAGAGTTTCGAAGCAAGTACCGAAGCCTGATTCGAAATGCATTGCCTCTTGTTCAATCTCTCGTCGGCGCGTCTATTGATCTTGATGCGTATGACGTACCTTTTTTTTCTTCTTTTCTTTTCTCTTCGTGTTCTTTCCTTCTCTTTTATCACAAAGAATAAATCTATTTCTTCTTTTTTTTTCACAGTAGTGCTATATCTGGTTACGGCTCAGAAGTTTCCGTGATTGTGGTTCGCGGTTCGAATAGCCAGTGAGATCCGACTCCCAACGCTTCACTGCGTCGCCATCGATCACGATAAAGGCTTAGT